TTCAATGATTAGAATATAAGTAGAATAGGTATAGCTTATGCATCAGATTTATTTATTTCAAGAAATTTACTTAAAAAAAGGATTAAAAAAATCAAAATATTAAGAAGGAAATAATTAAGAATTTACTAAAATTACTAAAACAAAAAATTAAAAGCAACGAAAAAAAACGGGCAAACATTTTAGTATTTTATCTGTAAAACACAGTACAGAAGGTTTCACATTAATACATTAACAGTAATTGAATTCCGAGGTAAAAGTCTCTGGGCACTCCACTAAAAAGACAATCAAAAAATAAAAAAAAACTTTCCTTTTTTTAAGGGAACACCCTGTATATTTTAAGATTTTTGAATGATTTTTTCTTACATGTCTATAAAAGTTAAAATTTTAGTTTGTTATGTTTAGTATTAATTTTTAATATTTGATTTATTTCCGGTTATATTTTTAACTTAGACAATATAAGATAATATTATTATTTAATCTTAAAAATTACTTATATCACTCGCTCTACCTGTTTACTTGTGCACTTGTTTATATAGCTATTCCACTATATAGCTATGTTATTTACCCAAGTTTGCATTTATTTGCTATCTTAATAACACACCTATTTTACTTTGAGGCTGTTTGCAAACACGTACCGGATTACAAAATCAAGCGAACAATAGGTTTAGAAAGGATATTAACATAAAAGTTAAGTCATTATTGAGTATAGTGATACACGAAATTTCTTGTTTGATTTTCTTTTCGCCATTCAAGTTTTAGTAAGTTTATTTTGGAATTATGTTCGAAATTTTCAAGGCTTCCCTAAGAAAATTGCGACTCATCGCTTTTTCAAGGTATCATTCAATGTTAACAAAGTATATTAATACTAATCAGTAAGAATAGTCATTCAGATTTTTGAGTATCGTACTATTCTGTTTTGGACAATAAAGTATTGTTTGTTTTTCACATGATAATTTTGATGAACATGTTTTAAAACACGTGTAGACATGGGCGCCGGACAGGGGGGGCAAGAGGGGGCATTTGCCCCCCCCCCTGGATCACTGAAACAGTAAAAATAAAAGCTATCTTTTTACATCCATCTGCAAACATAATCATTATTATGAAACTTTTAGGTGTTACCTGTAAAATAATAAAAAATGTGTTTCAATTTTTTATTCATTTTTACCTTGCCCCCCCCCCCCTAAATTTCATTCTTCCGGCGCCCATGCGTGTAGAATCATTTTTATCCTAAATGATCATAAATAGATAAATTTAATAGTTATAATTATTTTTTTAATGTATATTCGTTTTAGGAAGAGTTCAGAAGAATAAGAGATTATACATACTAAAAAATAAATACAGGGTGGTCCGAACTGTATTCCTGTAACTTCGGTAGCATATTTTGCACACATAAATAAGTAAAAAAGTTCGTATATAATATATATATTTCGTCGGCTTTATGACGAAAAGGCGTATCTCGATTTTTGCTACTTTTCAGGAGAGCAATTTAAAGAAAATCACTTACTTTATTTGGCCAATAAATGTAAAGTCTTTAATTTTTTAATAGTGTTTTTGTATTAACACTTAAACGGAGACATTGAGGAAACGTTCTGAAGATAAATTGAGCGTAAATTCTAATAAATAATATATTTTTAGTTGTTTAATAGAGATAGGCCTTTTTGTTATAATAATAATAAATTTATTTCCGAACGAATAGTATACATACGCCCATGTAAAATAAATTTAAAAATGACGGTAAAGTGTTCTTAATAAGAAAAAAAAATGATACAATATTCACATTATGGAATACTTACAAGAAAATACAATAGATACATACCTACATATACAAGAAAAAATCTGAAAATCGCGAAAAAATCAGAAACAAATATTTTTAAATAGTTTTATTCGCGTTGGATTAGATCAACTGAAAACAAAGACAATTTTCATGCCAGAAGCAAAGACAATAATCAATTAAAATACTCTTATCTAGCTTATTTTAATAATATTGTTTTTTATACAAAAATGCATTTTTTTAACTAATATATTTTTAGTAATTTTTTAGTTAATTGAGGGCATTAATACAGGGCATTTAAACTCACGGTCCATATAATAAAAATCAAACTAAACAAAAACAAAACATGTTTCTTCATTCGTTTTTTTTTATACAAATAACTGTGGAGTAACAGTTTCTGTTTTCCCTGTTCAATGATAACAAATTCGACTTCCATTCTACGTGTTTATGCTGGATGATGATAGGCAAAATAAATAAAATTTTCCAAAAATTGGTAGGGATGACAATACCAGTGGCCTGACAATGATGAGATGAAAATTATTGTATTTTTCGGGCAAGTTTTTGGTTCGCTAAAATGTTCTTAGATAAATTATGATTTCGTGAAATTTTCCATTAGGGCAATTTTCGTTTCGTTGTTTTGCTTTCGATCAAAATTTTCCTTTTATTCGGCCATTTATTGTCGGACAATCTTTTGCATACCCGATACAGCTATGTGCAGAGTCTAGCTCATTCTAACAATGGTTTTGGCAAAAAATAGACTCTAAAATCACACTGTAAAAGAGAGCTGCTGCCATGATAGAAGTTTTATTTTTCCCAAGCAACCGTCAGAAAATAATTAGGTAGAATGGTGTGATTTTCTCTCGAATGCATTTTTATAACTTAAAACAAAAGGACCTATTTCAAATTCCATCTTTCTTGTAGTATAACAATAGGTATAACAATAATTGATATAACAAAGAGCCCTATCTCAACATACGTCTCTTTGTCATAACGAAGAATTGTAGTATTTGAAATGGGGCAAATTTTTAAACTAATATAAAATGAAAAAGGTACAATATTGAGATGCGCAAATTCGCTATGTTAAAATATGACCCATTGGGCATGTCATGACGTTGATATCTCAAAATCGCCAAAAATCGAGATACGCCTTTTCGTCATAAAGCCGACGATATGTATGTTCTAAAATGCTTAGTTTCGGAGATACAGGGTGTAGAAGTTTCATTTATATTTCGACTTCTTCCAAATAATTTCTGAAGTAACGTCAATATTTGGATGAAAATTGGTGTCTGGGAGTTTTTTGACATGAGAAATTTTATTTTAATGTCAATATAACTCCTATTTATAGGGGGCGCCACCAACATGTGTTTTAACTGTTTTGAAGAGTAATAACTTTTCGTCCGTACCTGTATAAAACTACTGAGTGAAAAAATATACATTTCCATGATTTTTTACGTAAAACATATCTCTTGGTAAAAATCGATACGTCCAACCGTTCTTAAGATGTTGAGTAGATAGTTATTCGACTGAAATGATAAATTTGGGAAGTTTTTATTTTTTTAATCATAATTTTTTTGTTTCACTACTAGCAACCGTTCTCAAGATATTTAGAATGGAAATAGTCAATATATGTCATTATTGACAAAAAATAAACGTATTGAGTAGAGAGTTATTCGCTTGAAATTATAAATTTGGGAACTTTTTATTTCTTTAAATTTATCATAAATTTTTCTTCGAAAAAATGATGATAAAACAGTTTCTGTTGAACTTTTGATACAAAAAGTTTTCAAATTTATGATTTCAGACTAATTAACTATTTAGTCAACATTTTTAACTTATGTCAATGATGACAGGTATTGATAATTTCGATTCCAAATTTCTCGATAACCATTACTGCGCGATTTTTACCAAGAGACCTTTTTTGCGTAGGAAACGTCTTAAATGTATATTTTTTTACTCATTAGTTTTATACAGGTACGGACAAAAATGTATTACTCTTCAAACCAGTTAAAAATATGTAGGTGACACCCTCTACAAGTAGGAGTCATATTGACAGCATAGTCAAGTTTTTCATGTCAAAAAACTCCCAGAGACCAATTTTCATTCAAATATCGATATTAGTTGAGAAATTATTTGGAAAAAATCGAAATAAAAATGAAACTTCTACACCCTGTATCTCCGAAACCAAGCATTTAAGGATATGCATTTATACGAACTTTTTTACTTATTTTTATCTGCAAAATATGCTGACGAAGTTTCCGGAATACAGTTGGGACCACCTTGTATACAGTGAAACTCCCCTAAAAAGGCGCGTTTGAGTCATGTGAACGTGAACTTCTTTCTTGTAAATTTAATTTATGTTCAAGATATTATGTTTTTTAACTAAAAGTTAAAAAAAAGTCCAACTAATTTTTCTAAAAATGATAAATTTTCATAATTTTTGGGAAAAAAACCTAATAGACGTGTTTCTGAGGTCGAAATATACCACCCCTTAAATATTTGCACTTTTTTAAGTCTCACCCTATATGTATAGATAGACATTCCACTTATAAAGATAAAAACACATAGTCAGATTGATCAGAATTTAAGAAGTTCGAGATAGGGAAGTAGTGTATCTGTTTTCAAACAAAAAGTTATTGGACTGAGAATCTACAGAGAAAAATCTTAAATGGTTCTTTATTTGGACACAAATTTATCGATTAATAATATATCTGAGATTTTAAGATATGAAACGTTATAAAGGGTGTTTATTGGTTAGGCAAATTTATGTTCAAGCACACACTGGGAGTTTTTTGTCCGTTGTTTATTAATATAGTTGCTTTTTACATAAAACCACAAACTGAAGAGTGAGTCTGTTATAAAGTGTATATTTGATTATTAAGAGTCTATTTTAGTTTTTTATGGAATCCTATAAAATTACCTAATTATAAATAAATAACTAATTATAACAAACTTCACCCTTGGAATTACTTCTATCACAATTCAACTTGTGGTAACAATTCCTCTTGTGGTTACTTTTCCATAGATATCCTCATCTCTGTCCTCATCAGTGTGAATAATTGTTAAAATAATATACAGTTAAATATTAACATAAAACATATACTATATTATTTCCCCGATCAGTAAAAAAATCAATACCTGTTATTTTATAACATAAAAACTATTCATATCCTGTGTTAATTTATATGAATTATAATCGTATATTATTTATTTCATTGTTATTTCTTTACAGGATTTTGCGTAAAAACCAAGGAAATTGGAACCAATACAAAAGTTTTCGTTAACATTTGCACCACAGATGCTATTCCGGCACCAAAGGATATTTCTGAAGCGGAACTACAGAAATTTATTGAATTAGAAGATGCTTCTGGTTTCAGGTAAAAACGATTTTTCATCTAATTTTTACCATAAAAGTTTAATTAAAAAAAAAACAACACATTAACAAGAATATTATTTTTCATATTTTATTTCAAAATTTATACATAGTTCTAAAATAGTTTTTTAGTAAAGGGTTTATTGTGATCATAACATAACATTAACACATCCAACAACATTATCATATCCAAAATTTATTTTTTTACTCCCAAGGCGTTTAACGCTATATACGGGAGCTATTATTATTATTATTATTATATTTTGTTATTTTTTTAACGAAAATTTCTAGAGTTCCCATGAGTATTGGTGAAATTCGCACGGAGAAAGACAAAAAAGGAGGGGACGCTAAAGCTTGCGATGTTGCCATACATCCGTCTTTCTTTAAGAAAGTGGAAACACAGCAGACTTTCAAAAACTTTTTCATGGCGGTAGTCTTTCAAGGATTAGAAGACAAATATGGTAAATATTTTCCTGTTATATTTTTAGGATATTTTATACATATCTCTCTCTGTATAAAAAATCTCTTTTTCATTGAAATGACATTACTAATGACAATATTCTCTCGCCGTACAGGCTATAGTCTGTCCAACGAGTGAATGTATGATAGAGACAGATGTCTATTATTTTAATTCAAAAGTAGATTGTAATTTGTACCAAATTAACGGGCTCAATTTAAATTATTTTATAAAAAACGTTAAGTGTCTAATGGGACACACAAAAAGAGAAAAACAGTTTCAATCAATAAGGGTTTTTACTAAAACTGTTTTCATGTGATTCCTTAATGCAAATTAAATCAGCTAACGCACACTGATTAGTCGCAAGATTTAAGGCTGGGTGCATACAGAAAGAGCAAAACAACTTTAGTCAAAAGTGTTTTTTGCTAAATATCTGTTTTGCCTGCGACAAAAACATTTTTGACTAAAAAACAGCCTCTGCACTATCCCCGAAATATTTCGTGAAACATTTCTGGAAATACTTGCAGAAGTAAACTCAAATATAAGCCCGTGTTATAAAAATTAGTTTCTACGTTTCCTGAAATAGATCGAGACCGTAATTGGTTGTTTGTTTTTTACTGTTAATCTGGATTAACAATAAAAAGGTCAAACGTTGTGGTGGCTTCAGAAAAAGGCAACGAAAAAGCCGATGAGCTAGCTATAATTTTAATTATTTCTTGTTTTTGAATGGATTCAGGTACATCAAACTATGTTATTATAAATAAATATATAAAAGTATCTTTTATTGATATCGAATTAATCAAAAATTTTCCCAATCAGCTCGATATATTGATGATGTTGCCAGTATTACTCATCAAGCAATACCACTGTTATATTAATCAATTAAGGCCGCGTAAACAAACATAACAATACATATACAATTTTATATACTAATTCATTATAATACAACATATTGTATTCATTATAATACAACTTATTGTATTGTATTCATTATAATACAAAGATATTGTAATTATATTACTGCAGATTAAGTGAAAAGTTTTGTTCTTAAATATCTACTCTACATATTATAAACGCATCTTCAAATATTAATCTTGTGGAATATACAGTGCCGGCCAAAACTGGAGAAACTTTTAAATTTTACAATGCATTCCACAAATACATTTTCTATTGATACGCCAAGTATACGAATGTTTACAGATCTTGATAATACTTAATAAAAAAGGAAAACACTAAATATTTTTAGAAAGAATTTGCTGAAATTAAAAAAAAAGTAAAATTGTTTATTTTTATGAGGAAATGAAGAAACTTTTGCTATTATTACTATAAATTCAATAGTGCTTGTGTGAGAAAGTTAATATTTTGTCAGTATTTTTGTAGTTTGTCTTTAAAATGCCTCGTGGTATTAATTTATCAAATCAGGCAAAACGACTGATTATTAAAAAATACCAGGAGGGAGTCAAGCAAGTTGATATTGCAAGTCAGTTAAAATTAAATTAAAGTGTTGTTTGCAAACAAATAAAACTGTACCAAGTAAAAGAGGATCAATTGAAAGTAAACCTAAACCAGGACAGCCCAGAAAAAGTGGAGCTGCCACCGATAAATTAATAAGGTGTTTTTTGAAAAATCCATTTTTACTGCGGTCGATATAAAAAAGGAAAATCCATATGTTTCAATTTCTGTGAGGACTATTAGAAGACGCCTAAGTGAAGGGAAGCTACACGCCAGATGTCCTGCCAAAAAGCCTTTTATTTAAAAAAAAATCGACGGTCTCGTTTGGATTTTGCCACAGAACATTTAAATTGGACTTACGACCAATGGAAATAAGTGCTATGGTCGGATGAAAGCAAATTTAACATGTTCGGCTCCGATGGTATGACGTGGGTAAGGCGTCCTAATAACGAAAGATACAATCCTAAATACACTACGCCAACTATCAAACATGGGGGTCGCAACGTGTTTGTGTGAGGGTGCTTCTCTGGCCATGGGATGGGACCACTAAGAAGAATAGAATGAATTATGGATCGGTATCAGTATCTGAACATTTTAAGAAATACAATGTTGCCATTTGCCGAGGAATCGTTACCTCCTGTTTGGAAGTTTCAGCATGATAACGATCCAAAACATACTGCAAAAATCGGTAAAGAATTTGTTGAAGCAGAACAAGTGCCTGTTATAAAATGGCCAGCTCAGAGCCCGGCTTTGAACCCCATAGAAAATATGTGGGAGCAACTAGAACGCGAAGTCAGGCAGAAACACCCGGAAAATTTTACAAATAAAGATCAATTATTTGCTGCTCTGTCACAAGCTTGGTCTGAGATTTCAGAAAATAAAATTAGGTCTTTGTTGGAATCGATGCCCCGAAGATGTGCAGAGGTGATCAAGAACAAAGGATTTTAAACTAAATATTAAAAAATAGTTTTTGTTAATATTGTCAGTAAAGTTTCTCCACTTATGTCCTCTAGGAAAGTAAATATTTATACAATAAAAACAATAATTTAGGTTTTTTTTGTGCATTATTTAATGTAACTATTGGCAAGCATGCCAATAAAAAATCTAATGAAGGATTATTATACACAATCGCAAGTAGGAAAGAAATCATAAAAGTTTCTCCACTTTTGGTCGGCACTGTATATCAACATAAAACGAGATGTAATTAACGAAATGTCATTGTAACAACAGTTATTTTAGAAACGTCTAGGTTTACTTAATTCACTGAGATTTATGAAAAAAAAGTTCTTTACCTCGGGTACAGATACCGCCACTGTTTGGAAGTAGCTCAAAACGAAACAAAATTGAATGAGGCGAAAAAAAAATGGCCCCACGCCCGCCTCGCGAGTAGTTTTCAGGCGCTTTTAAGAATCGAAAGTAGGTCGAGGCAAACCGAAGTGAGCCAAAACAACTGGAAATAAACCGAAATGCGACAAAGCTGGGCGACAAAACGCGATCTTGACCTGCTTCGAAGAGTTCTCCGCATAATGTAGAGTTTTTTAAACAGTTTTTTTTCTGCGCTATCGAAAGATGCGTACAACCTATCTAAGATAGGAACTATCAGAAACAAGAAATAGCCATCTTGTCCGATAGTCAGGCAGTCTTAAGGGCAATCAACTCAGTAATGAAAACAAACCATCTAGCTAGAAAAGGTACGAACGCTCCGCTAACTGGACCAGAACCGTTCTGCTTCTCAAGTGGAACAGTCAACTCAAGAACCTTGAGGACTCCAACCGTAACCTGGAATCCAACGATCTAAGACATTCGAAAAAGCTTCGTAGGTCTTAGATCGAGAAAAATCAAAGATTTTCCTTGATTTAAGTAAGAACAATCTTCGGATTGTCACGGTGCTTTTAACAGGACACTGCCTCCTCAGTGTATTACTGAACCCTGCAGTAGATTGAAGCTAAGAATCAACGGCGAATGCAGAATCTGTGGGGAAACACCAGAACACCTCATCACTGAGTGCGCCGAGGCGACAACAATTCGTGCCATAGACTTTGGTGTGACTGACATCAGAGATGGATAATTAACCTCTGTAAAACCGTCTCAGATGCTGGCTTTTTTCACAGCTCTGAGACTGTTTGATGAGTTATAACTCAAGAAAGGGGGACACAATATATCTATAAGGTCGCGGTGATTGACTTCCTCCCTCCCATACAATCTACAAAACAGTTTTGCTCTTTCTGTATGCGTTCCAGCCTCAGTGTTGCATTATACAGGACTGCTTTTTATGTAATAATCACATTAGATTTCCTAAAATAAACATACTTCGATATATTTATCACTGATTTAATATTACAGGTTTAGTTTGTCACGAGGACAAACTCATTTTAGCCAACCGAAAATGCTTCGGTACCCTTCAAATGCACCGAATCCAACAAAGAGAGATCGCAGAGAAAATGGGAAAACTCAACGACAGCAAATCGGCTATTAGTGAATTGACTGGCGAACAAGGTAAAGAGAAGAAAGTTATGATTGAAACCATTTCTTCTGAAGAATTTAAGGCCAGAGAGCCGGAGTACAGAATTTATAAGAAAAATAACGGCAGTAATAGCATAACTGGAGAATTTAAACTACCTGACATTGTAAGTACTGTCATAATTTGTTTTTTGACATATTATCTGTCTTTGAAGTTGACTCTGTACAGTAAGAGTGGGGAAGGACGATATTGACACACGTTATCCAAAAACTCACAGAAAACTATTTACTTTTGAATTAAAATGACGGATCAACTGTCACTGTCATATATTTTTTCCTTAGACAGACTAATCATACATGACAGTTGTTGTGTATGTCTTTTTAATTGATTCAGAGGTAAATTGTATATATTTTCTGATATTTATGGATGTCATCTGTCGAAATCTACCCTGACACGTTGGACAGATTTTAACTACTAATGTAAATGTGTTTTTGTATTCCTTTTTGTAGATATCAGCTAACGAATTGACTTTGGATATAGGAGAAGATCGCATTTTGTTAGAATCAAAATCTAAGGGATACTTGCTTAATGTTTTCGTTCCATATTGCATTAGAAATGAAAAGTGCAATTCGTCTTTTAATACAGCATCGAGGGTGAGATTTTTTTACATATTTTTTAAAAAAATATCCTATTATACAGGGTGAGTCTTAAATAAGTGCAAATATTTTCAGGGGTGGTATATTTCGACCCCAGGAACACGTCTATGAGGTTTTTTCGCTAAAAAAAAACTTGAAAATCTTGCATTTTCTTTTAAATTTCCCTGTATATTTTTAACTTTTTAGAACTGCCTGTTCACCGCAAATTTTCCCACGGTATAATTTCTTAATCTCAGATATTACCATAGTTACGGCTTTACTCTATGGTTACGGCATATACATATCAAATATATACTGATTATCGCCTATCGAGTCGTGGACACTCAAAGTAAGCGCAATGAATAAGTTGGAAGCATTTGAGATGTGGGTATATCGCAGAATGCTGAGAATACCATGGACTGACCGTGTCTCGAATGAACGAGTTCTAAACCAAATGAACAAGGACCGAGAACTCCTCGACATAATAAAAAAGAGGAAAGCAGCTTATTTGGGCCATATCATGAGACATAGCAAGTATGAATTCCTTCAGCTCATCATCGAGGGTAAAATTGAGGGAAAGCGCGGACCCGGACGACGGCAATGCTCCTGGCTGAAGAACATCAGAGATTGGACAGGCCTGGACTGACATACTTTGCTGAGAAGAGCGAAAAATAGAGAGGAATTTGCCATGGTTGTTGCCGATCTTCACTGAATGGAGAAGGTACTTTAAGAAGAAGATCGCCCATCCCTGCAATGTGTTGGAGTTGAAGCCGAGTTAAAGACAACTAGATAACCGGTTCATGTATATTTCACATAAGTTCATCTGTTAGGCAGACACTGGTGCAACAGCGCAACTCCAACATTCCGAATATCGATTAGCCCTTACTCTGAGGATTAGCCAATTGTCGAACGGGAACGCAAACGAAAGCCGTACGAAGTTGGACGGAGCCGTACGAATGAACAGCTGGTGCTAGCGTCTAGTCTCTTATTGGTCAGGTGATCCGATCGATAATTCAAAATCCAGGCTTGCGCACTACGCTTGAGCACCGCTAACTGAGCGACTTATGCAAATTCCTTCAGAAGATTTTTATACCCATTTCACCGGCTTGGCTTCACAGAATGCAGTTTGGAGTCGATATACTTTAGTTAATATATATATATATATATATATATATATATATATATATATATATATATATATATATATATATATATATATATATATATATATATATATATATATATATATATATATATATATATATATATATATATATATATATATATATATATATATATATATATATATATATATAATATATATAATATATATATATATATATATATATATATATATTATATATATATATATATATATATATATATATATATATATATATATATATATATATATATATATATATATATATATATATATATGGGTTACGGCAATAAAAGGGGTGCAAATATCGAAAAAATCCGGGGGCTCAAAGTTTTTTCAAAAACAATCAATTTTTTTTTTAAATTTCAAACTTAAATATCTCGGTTATTTTGGACTTATCTGAAAAATGGTAAAGAGAAAATATGTTACTTTTATCGAGATAGACGAAGATCTACCAGCCCTGAAAATATTTGCACTTATTTAAGACTCATCCTGTATAGATTTATGTTCAAGATAGCTTTTGTCATGAGCTTCCTATAAGAGTTACTGAATTGACATTAACAGAGTATGCTTGATCATAAAATTAATTAGTCTGAATCTTACTGTTAATACAGTTGCTTTACATGGGCTAAAATATGGTCTGAAATATATAAAATATGTATTTTTATATTTACAGTTAGATAAAAAACTAGTGAGTAATCTGTATTTCCTAGTATATATATCCACCAACAACTTAGGTTATTTCTACCTCCTAGTTAGGTAAGAGTGGAGGGGGGCATTCGTGTTTAACAAAGTATTTGGCTTTAGTATTTTTTAAGGTATTGATTGATGTATAGTATTTTTAATACCCATTTAGAATAACACCATCCTTATTTATTATTAATAAATCAGTTAAAACAAAAAATTACCAACAAAAATGAACGTCGATAACTAATTTGTTAGATGTCACGTTTTTGAAGTTACGTCAAATTTTGATTTCATGTTAGTCATAACGCAAAATAAGATATAAAAATGCGATATTCTGATGAATCTGAAAAACTTATGCTTAATGTAGTAAACTATTTTCAAAATGATTTAGGATCTCGATTTAAGGCAAAAAGCGTCCCAAGCACTAAAAGTTCCAGTTTTTCATGCGGGTTCAGATGGTTCAAGAAGCCGCATACGCTAAGTTACTAAAACGGCTGGTACCTCTAAATCAAGGACTGTATATCGTGGGCGTACAGCGAAAATCCACTAAGTCGTATTTTTGGTTTGGTTTGGTTTGGTCCAAGTCCAATTTCGGCATCCTTATAATATAAGGATGCCGACTTAATGGGTTATTCATGTTAAAGACCGTGAAAAACTGGACATAGTGTGTGTGTTTAATCCAATTCAAACAAAAATGTGACTTAGTGGATTTTCGCTGTACGCCCACGATATATTCTAAAGGACTGTCCGATCGCGTCAAATCGCCGCTGTCGTAGTCGCCGTGGAATGCTACGTCACGCGCTGACCAGCGCTCCACAGTGCGGCGCATGGTTATTCTAGCGGGACAAAATCTCAAGAGCAATGTTTGGGACTTAAAATCTAAGAACGTAGCCAATGGTCTAATATATAGCAACTATATGGTTAAATTTATTTATTTATTAACAACTTAATTTGTTAATAAATAAATACAAGATAATAAAACTATGATATTATTCGTACATGACACACAAAAACCGTATTGTAAACTATTGCCAAATACATAAAATTATGATATCAAAAAACTCTTTAGCAATTTTTTTTTAATTAATTTGTAATCTTGTGACACCCTCTATAATTTATTTTAAAAAATATATTTTATTTTGAAAATAATAAATAAGATAGATATTTTAATTTTAACACTCGGTAATTGTAAATTCATATATAGTAAGTATCTAAGACACTTTTTTAAACTCAGTGCCTTTTGATGGAGTTGTTTTGTTTTTATACTATCCGATTGAAATGAATCTTTTTGGGCATTCACCTGTTAAGCTTGAACTCCCTGTGACTGTGACTACCTGTGTTGGTAACTATTGGTAACTCAAAAGATCTATATCATTCAATATATCGATATTTGAAAAAAAAGTGAAAGTTTGATATCTGCAGAACAAAGGCACGAAGGATTTTAACAAATAATATACGTACAGTAGAAAAGTACATACCTTTGGCAATCTTCAACATAATTTGGCTTTCTAATAAAATGTATAAGCACTTTTAAATATTTTGTTTTCATATGATCTCTGCCTTGCTGAGCAGAAAACGACCAAATTTGGTTGATAAGAATGTATCGAAATACAAAGAATATTCATGCATTTTTGTATCAATCGGAATGTCTACTATATTGTCTACTACCAACGCATTGTGCGCTCGTCCGTCAAATGCAAAAATAACTGTCACTGTCTAAAATCTTTAGCGCCAACTTCAACTCGGTCAGTTGATGACGTAAAAAAACTGACAGTGCAGGAAGATAGGAATCGAACTATCCTTATCTCTATAGTATCCTTGCCTCTAAATAGGTATTATAAATACTACAGTAATGTTCATAGGGTTGCGAACATTGTTGTGTCAAATTATAAATACAATAAAATTTATAGAATATTTTATTAACTGTTATTTTTTCAGATCTTAACTGTCAACATGCCATTAATAGGAGGTTAAGAAGATTATTACATAGATAATTTGGCCTTTACCATAATAAGTCATTATTTAAGGAATAGTATTGTTATGTATACAATAAAATTGTCTTCAGAATAAAGTTTTTGATGCACTATTTCTCATTTAGAATTTTATTTGAATCCTCAATCCTCAGAAATAGATATTCATAAGATCTATCGAATATATATAGAATCTTGACGTTTATGTATGTTTTTATTGAGTCGTTTTTTCCAAATTCTGGGAATATATTACTATGATTAAAAACACTTGAAAATAAGAGTAGCCGTTTATGTAAAAATACGCCGCGTTTAGAATCCTCAGAATCCAAATTATATCATTTTTTTCAGATTCAGACAATGTCAAGAGTTGACATATGATATGTCATTCTATTCAGAGTGTCATTTTCTATCGAATAACGTAAAAAAATAACGAGGGGGCCATTTAAAAATCAAAAGTTGTAGTCATTTCCGGTAAACAGGAAGTAACCCAAAGTAACCAAAAACAATTGAATACGTCAATCAATCCTAGGTAATTACCCAATTCTAATTTATGTCATATACTAACATACCAAAAAAGTTATAGGGGCGAGCCACTTTTGAGACGCACCCGGTATAACCAATGCATATGCCACCCTCAATACATTACATGAATATTGAACTCTATCAACCTAGGTTATATACTTTTTGTTTAAATTCAAATATATAAATTCTATTTATAACAATTCAAGTTATGACAAGTGATTTTGTTGCATTTTTATTGCTTTCTTATTACCACGAAATCTATGCTGTGTTATTTTTTACTTAAAAAAACAATATTGAACCATATCTTAACACCGTTATTTTATAAGGATATTCTCGACAAAAAAATACTTAATAAATTGTTGAAAATTCTAGATAAAATGTATATATTTTTGTTTATCATCCTATATTTTCCCTAACTTAATAATAAACAACTTTGTTTTAATTGTATAATTTAAAAGGACAACCTAAATCAAAGTACCTAATTTATGAAGATTTTCTTAAATTAACACTTTGCAATAAACCTAAAAACGCATCTTATATTAAATACATTTTTGAACTTACCAGATGTTTCAAAAAAAATATTTAACTCACATTGTTTACACAATAACATTACAAATGAAAAATACATGAAAAATAAGAAATAAGTGAGGTTATCTCAAAACTAGACAGTTATAAAAAAAAATATTTGGCCTTCAACAGCCTTCAACCTGCTAAATAAATTAATTAAAATAGTATAATATAACAAGACTATATTATATTTCATTTTTTTATCTAATACCAGAATTAAACGAATATCATTTATCTAAATGCAAGTATATTATCCTTTATTTCTAAAGATATAAATACAAAACATAAGTATATAATTAAACTCTACAATTCATGCACTAAATATCTACTTTTTTAAAGTGATCAAGAAATTGTACAACTAGGTATTTACAGTGTATAAAATATCACATTTGGTAAGAAGCACTTTAAACGTTTTAACAAGAGTAAAAATCGGAACAACGTTTCTAAACAATGCAGCTTTATCCTCAATAGTAGTAAAAGACAAATTTAAATAGGTTTTATTTTCCGCAATAGCAAACATAAAATAATATTTACTGGGTAATTAATATTGCTTTTATGGCACAAATAACGTGTGGAATAAATAATACTGGGGAAACTACTGGAAAATAGTATGAAAAAAGTAGAGATATTTTGTGTAGCTCTAAAACTACCTATTAAGTATTAAGTACCCTAGTTTATGCAGATATACGGTACCTATTGATATGATGCCATTAAAACATACGTAGTCAAAAACTTTACAAAAATTTCATTAATTTTCTTTAAAAAACTATTATACAGTACGTCCTCGAATTGTTTTTACAAGAGGAAAAACTTTTTTATTATTCACATTTTGAGAAAAATGCATACTTTATAAAAAAATTCTTGTTCTAAAATAGTTTAATCCTGTTTATACTTTTTCAAATTTCCATACTGTTATGGAAGTTATGAAGAATACATTTTTCTCAAAATGTCATTAATAAAAAAGTTTTTCTTGTACAGACAATCCAGGGACATAATGAATAAATGGTACATATCTGGAATTCCATATTAAAAATTAATATTGAATATCAATACCACTCTACAAATACTTTTTGCAAATATAACTTTTTTTACATTCAAATTATTTGTTTATTTGATATAAAAGAATAACGTTGATATATCAAAATTAATAAATTAATGTTTTTATACATTAAATTCTCCAATTTTATATCAATAAATGACAGTTTAGAATTTAAAAAAAAACTACGCCATATTTGTCACATTTCTTAGAGTATTTGAGATTTCCTATTGCAACAAACCATTGGAAATTCAATAAGTCTGTAGAAAAGTTAAATGTTTAAGCATTAAAAAACTATTTTAACATAACATGTAAAATAATATATATTTGAAAACTACATTCTAAGTTGTCTGTTCAACAAGAGGATCCCTGACAGTGACAGTTGTATCATTTCTTCCCCCGGTCTTTGGACAGACAAGTTTTTGTGATACAAAGTGATAAATATATTTTTAATATTGTAAAAATAACAGAAATAATTGATAGTTCTTTTGTAATGCAATTATCTGGCTAAATTGTTAAAGCTAAAACTTTGAAGTCTGTCAAAAGCCACTTTTCATGGGATTTCCCATGGTGTTTAAAAATATAAAAGAAAATTATTCTGCATATCGATATTTCCATCAAATTATTGTTTATCAAGCATTTTTCCTTAACAAAAAACGGATATTAGATCTAAAATAACATACATCACTTATGCTTTTGATTAATAAATTCTTTTTTTAATGAGCAAAAAAAAATTAAACTTAAGAAAAAAAAATTAGTAAACTATTATATTTCAGTAAAAAATGTTGGTCTTTCAATACGCAAAAACTTAAATAACTGAGGTAGAAGGTACATAATATTAAATCCGATCATGGCACACGTAACAAACTTACAACCAAGTTCAGCTATTGTTTTGTGTTTGTTTGCCCAAGTGTTCTCTGATTGCTTCAGTTCCTGTTCATCTTTCTTCAATATTGTACATATAAAACTGTAAGAAAGAGGTTTAGTGATTTGGCGAGTTAAGAACACAAAAAAGAAGCCAATCAGTGTCCTGAGAACTAGACAGCCCCACATTGTCCATGAGGGCCACATGATGACTCGGGGTAGAGGAAGATCTGAAGTTGTCATAAAGCCGGATTGGTAGTTTAACCAGGCACCTGTTAATACGCCTACGCACACTGAGATAATCATTGTAGTGTCACCCCTGAAACATATTTATATGATTTATATGCGTTATTTTGAAATATCTTACCTTGTTGGTGTCCATTTGCCACTATTCGGATAATATATAATCATTAAAATAGACAAAGTTAACAGTAATACTGGTGATGTTGGATTAGTCAGTATGTAATTATCAAAATAATCTACAGCTGGCACTAGAGGAACCATAAGTACCACAGCCAATAGTAATCCTGCTAATATATCCTGTACGAAATGAAATATTTCAGATGTTGGTCCAAATATATTGATATAAATAATATTACCAAAACTGTATGCATTCCTAGATATAGCCTACTCAAGCAAATAATGCTACACCATGTTATAGCTGCTGCTAAACCAAGTGGTACATCGTATTGATAACGATTAATGGTAAATAGTAATACTGAAAATGGGATGGAAACACCGACCATTGCGTGGGTAGATGGAAAACCATATTCAAGTGCCCATTTGCTTTGTAGCTGTACTACTGGGGGACCTGGACGTGGCCACCTAATCAGATCTTTAATTCCTTGACCTGTAATTAATAGAGTAGATATATAACTAGTATTAAAATAAAAGGATACGTTACCTATATACATAACAAGTGTCCACACCAAAACTACTCTTCTTCCGACAGCTCCATCAATATTCCAGAACCAAAATGGGATAAATCCTGTATAGAACACTTCATCTCCTAATGCAGTTCCAAATAAAAATAAATAGTACCAGAATTTATTCCTAATTACAAACTTCTCTGTTGATTTTGCTCCAGACGGCTTATCACTTTTTTGACTAGAAGCTTTATTAAAGTTTGTATCAACTCCAAAAAATTTTTGAATTTTTGCCACCAAAACTGGGTCTCCCAATCTCTCCATGTTCTCCCAAACTCTTCTTTAAATTGAACTATTTTTTAACTTATTCTAAAATCACGTCACCGTCACACTTGAGGCAATGTTTGAACTTTCCGAGAAATTGATTATATTTAGATAAAACAGTTTCTGTATATTTTAATTTTATAATATTTGACAAGAACATACAGAAACTGGTAAAGTAATTCTGCAATCCGCAATGCAGTATACCTATGTCAGGTGTATTGTTAATATGATGCAACCAAATATACACTACGGTTTTAAATTAAATTTATATAATTTGGTTTAAAAAACCTACTTTTATTACGTCTAATTTATACACTAATAAAACTCAATCAAATATGATCATTTAAGTATAGATACTGGAAATAAACAATTAATACAAATAGTAACTTCAATCATCTAGTGGTCATGGAGATTTGTTTGTATTGAAAAATAAGCCTTATTGTTTCGTTCTAAGTTCTAAAAAGAAATTAATTTATTTGCACTATGGACCCCATGTATCTTGCTTTAAGTCTTTTTCGAAGAAGACATTATGATAAATGTATTGATATTTGTACAAGCATACTCGATAAACAACCATTAGATCAGGCAGCTTGGTGTTTGAAAATGAGAGCACTTACACAAAGGGTAAGAGAGTTAATATGTTTTGTCAAAAGTAATAGTTTATATATTACTTGAAATTGAAAATAATCTTCTTCTAGTTATATCCTTCCGCTAAGAATATATACTTATTTATACAGGGTGATATAACAAAAATGTGATATTAGTTATACAGGGTGGTGTGAAAAGGTATATTGACGAACTATATTTATATTTGTTAAATTGTTATTAAGTGTCAAATTATTCAGATGAATTCCTGGATGATTTATTCCGTATATTTGGTAAATTATTTTACCATTTATTTGCGTCTTTTTTTAATACATTTATTTTAAAATCTTGGAGAATCATGCGAACCTAAATATTTAATATTGTATTTTTTTACTGAGAAAATAACACAGGAAATATAGCTATATTATCTCAGCTTTTTATAACAATTCGATATTTTTAATAACTAAAGTTTACTAAATTATAACTATTATATAGTCTGTAAACTTATTTGGTATACCCGAGATACGAGGGGAGCTCAAAAAGCAATATTTTCAATCGTGCCTGGCATGGTATGACAATTTTGATTATGGGATCGTAAGAAAATGCAATCTTTTCTCTTTAGTAATAAAACTGAAGGTATCCGACAAAAACAGCGAGAATGGGGAGCCTGTACAGGGTGTCCCATTTTCATGTGTTTTAATTTTTTTTTGTTTATGAGTAAAGATACAAAGATGCTGTTTTCACATCACTGTGCTACTTTTTTTTATGAAACTGATTTGTCCTACTCTCCTTTGGTTCCTGTAATATAGGGCGAATTTTAAAATGTTGCATTAAAATGTGTATTTCGACCAACTTAATATCTTAATTATCTATTTGAAACCGTCCGTCAATGTTAAAAAGTTAAATAATGCATTTATTACCTTGTTTATGAAAATAGTTATATAAAGTATGTTATATTTTTATAAAGTTCATAACTAAGGCAAATAAAATAATAACATACCGGGTGCGTGTCAAAAGTGGCTCACCTCTACAACTTTTTTATTTTTTTAAATAAAAAAGGACATTTGGTGAGGTTGTAGTTGGTTAGGTATGTTAGTATATGACATAAATTAGTATTGATTGACGTATTCAATTGTTTTTGGATACTTCGATCCTGTTTCACCGGAAATTACTACAACTTTTGATTTTTAAATGGTACGCTCGGTATATTTCTACCTTATTCGATAGAAAATAACACTCTGAATAGAATGACATATCATATGTCAACATTTGACATTTTCGTTTAAAAAAAAAATGTATTTTAAATTTCTATCTAGATCGAGTGCCACGGCTGTGATAAAAACACTAATTTTTAGTCAAGGAGCCTTGGAAAAATAGATTTGATCGTCTAATGTTTCTCGTGTACTGGCCGGTTAAAAGATGCCTCAATCGCATTTTTAAACGAATTTCAATTTTTTCAAATGGAACAAGGGTGGCTCATTAGCATATTTGGAAAAAGCAGTTTACGAATAATTTGATACCACACACTTGGTATTTCGAGTCAAATTATCGTTATAAACCGTATGTTACCATTTTAAGTAAACCATATGCGAATATGTCAAAAGTTGACATATGATGTAATTTTATTCAGATTTAAACGTCATTTTCTATCAAATAAAGTAAAAAAATACCTAGGGTGTCATTTAAAAATCAAAAGTTGTAGTTATTTCCGGCGAAAGAGGAAGTGACCGAAAACAATTGAATACGACAATCAATCGTAATTTATGTCATATACTAACATACCAAATCTTTTTTTTTACTGAAAAAAAAACAAAAAGTTATAGGGGTGAGCCACTTTTGAGACGCACCCGGTATAGTGTATCCCATGTAAAAAACATAAGTTTGGGTGTTGTGTTATAATCCCGTCCTCATTTTAATCAAATTTGTAATATTAGTTTAGGAATGTCCCATCTCTAATAAAAACCTTCATACCTTTGAGGTCATAAACGACCCTACAATATAATTCTAATTGATAACTTTAACTATTACTGTTGGGAATTTTGATCATAAATTTATATAGCTTTCGCAGACGTCTGTCTATCTGAACAATGTAAGTTTAGGGCAGTGTCGTCCACTGCTCTGAATATTAGATTAAGGATATAAAATTGTACTGTACGCCTCTGGCATTTCTGTAGCTTAGATATTATTTAAGGAACTGCAAGACAGGCCCACACATCTCTTTGCAGAAACCTTCTTTTGCTCAACACTCTTTTGCTTTTGCTCTTCAACTCTCTTTTTACTCTTCAACACGTTATTATTTTTCACAGTTTCCCTCAGGGTAACTATTGTAATTAGTTTATCATAATTAAAGTTAAGTTATATTAAAAAACAACAGTGTACATTAATTCCACACCCGAAAAGACCCTCAACAAGTTGGCCCTTCTGAAGAGGACCACAACAAAAATTGGCGCTGCGAACAGGATAGGATAAAGTATTGGGTTAGTCCAGATAAGGATTCAGGATTGGTTAGGCCAATTCAGGACAAGACGGGATAGTACGGGACAAAAGGATTCTCAAGGAGGAAAAACAGGAAACTGGTCCAGGAGAATACCGTTGGTAAGTGGAATTTGTATATTTGTTTAGATTTTGTATCGAACGTTTTATATAACTTACTAGTATTTTTTTTTAACTCCGTTAAAAAGTACTTTACTAAATTTTATTAATCATTTTTTAACTAAATTTATTAACAAAATTTATCATGAATACCAATTCAAATATCGATTCACTATCGTTAGATTTCATATGTAGGTTGATTCCTTTCGGATTTAGCGGTGATAGAAACGAATTAGGACAATTTTTGGCAAATTGTAATAGTGCTAATGAGTTAGCCAGTGAAAATCAAAAATTACCTCTATTATATTTTATATTATCAAGAATATCAGGTACAGCAAAAGAGCAACTAACATCACAAAATTTCGAATCGTGGGAGAACCTAAGACAAAAGTTAAAAGATTTATATAAAGAGAGAAAACATTATGTCCAACTAATAGAAGAGCTAAATAACTGTAGACAAAATTTTAATGAATCCGTAGATGATTTCTTTCAACGTTTAGAAGTTTTAAACCATCGTACAATTTCTTCTGCTAAGCAGAGTTGTCGAAACGATGCCGAATTACCGGGTAAAACTCAAACAATACGCGAATTAACTTTAAACAGATTCATTTACCATTCTAAACCAGAAATTTCACAAATGTTAAGATATAAAGGATTTAATTGCATTAAGGAGGCTCATAATGCTGCCCTCTGTGAAGAAAGGATATTAAATATGTTAAAAAATAATAAAAGCAACCAATACTGTAAAATATGTCGTAACAATTCGCATTCTACAAATAATTGTCGTAAAAATTATCCGCAATCTAATAGAAATTACCGAGTTCATGTTAACAATTCTAATAAATCTAATAATCATAACTTTAATCATACATTTAATCAACCTTCTTCAAATAGTCAACATAATAATATTAAACAATGCAAATATTGTAAAAAGTACGGACATACAATAGATGAATGTAGGAAATTGCAATATAAAAATTCTTACAATGTATTTAACAAAAACAAAAATCCTAATGATATACAAAATAAAAATTTTAACAGGGTATCGAATCAGAATCAAATACCAAATGAAGTATCAAATATTCATTCATTCACAGATACTCAATCAAACTTAAAAATTCTCAGTGACGACAATAACTCTATATTTTTAGAATTTAAGTCTGATTTTTCTAATAATAAAGATAAAACATTTCGATTTTTATTAGATACAGGTGCTAGTGTATCTTTAATCAAATTAGATAAGTTAAATCCTGAAATTACTAAATTTTTTCCTAGCGAGAAATTAACCTTACACGGTTTAAGTACAGATTCTCCTGTATTAACGGCGGGTAGTACTATAATTCCATTTAATATTAGGAATCATACATTGAAAATAAAGTTCCATATTCTTAATCAGAAAACAAACGTCCCTTATGACGGTCTGATCGGATACGACTTTATTAAATCACAAAACGCCCAAATTGATTTAAAAAAGCATTTATTTTCTCTTGACTCGCTACCTTTTCCGCTACATCTAAAAATGAATATTAATAATGCTAAAACTCTTAACATCTTTACTAATTCATCAGATTTATTTAGTAGAAATAAATTATTAAATCAAAACCTTAGACTAGAAGATTTAAATATTGAGGAAAAAGGACATATTTTAAATTTATGTACGGAATATAATGATATTTTTCACCTACCTGGCAATAAATTAACTTGTACTCAAACTATGAAACACGAAATTAATTTAAGTAATCAAAAACCAATATCCGTTCAAACTTATAGATATTCGAAAAAACAAAATGTATCTGGACAACAAAACTTTCAGATTGTCCATAAACAAGGCAGAATAAATTCTAATGTAGATGCTCTATCACGAAATATCAACATTAATATAATATCTAAAGACGACAATTATCAAAATTTTATTAAATATCATTATCAAACCTCAGAAATTACCCCGAAACTTGATATTAAAAATTCAAATTTATTCGATAATTTACCTGCTGCTCTTTATTTTTCTTCAGATTTGGACGAAGATAATCCATTTTCACAACATATTAAAGATAATTTCGACTACAATATTAATCAGATAATATCTCCTAACTTACATTCAATTTACAAATTAAAAAATCATAATAAATTATGCTATTTAATGAATACAAAACATTTTCATTTTGATAAATTAAGCTATAAGGATGTATTTTATTCTATACGTAACTTAAGAACTCAGTTAATAAAAGATGATATGAAAAGAATAAATTTACCTGACATTTCACTTTATTGTACACATTTAAAAAAATCTATGTACTACAAAATAATTCATTATTTATTTAAAGATACGAATATTAACGTACATGTCATTAATAGAGAAAAGTATAAACCTGAGACTAAGGAAGAAATTGAACAAATACTAAAAGAAAATCACGATTCTAAATTAGCCGGACACTCTGGTTATACTAGAACTTATAAAAGGATTAAGGAAAATTATAAATGGAACAATATGAAGAAAGATATCAAAAAATATATTAAACGCTGTTCTTCGTGTCAAATAAATAAAACTAATTATAAACCAAATAAGGCCCCTATGGAAATTACATCCACCAGCCAAAAGGCCTTCGAAAAATTAGCGATTGATATAGTTGGTTCATTACCCATTACCGAGAATAAAAACAGATTTATAACTCAAGCTAAAGAAAATATAAATAAATCAAAAGAATCTTACGATCAAAAAATTAAAACGACTATTTACAAACCTAATGACCTAGTATATATATTAAATAAACAAGTTTCTCCAGGCTTAAGCAAAAAAATTATCCCCTAATTTTAAAGGCCCGTATAAAATAACAAAAGTACTTAATGAAAAAAATGTTCAAATTCAAATTGGGAAAAGACATATTATTTATCATACTAACATGATAAAACCCTTTGTTTCAGATTAAAATATTCGCCTTATTTTTATACCTTATTGTACTTTTTCCATTACCCTCTAACACTTTTAATTATCATATAACTTATCTACCCGGACAAACGGGAATATATTACCATAAATTGGGAAATGCAAAGATATCCGGATCTGAAATTATTCTTTTCACACACCTAAATTTATCTTATTATAATGGTAAGCTAAATTCGCTCTCTCACGCATATTAAAGATCTTTTAAATTATGTCATAGTAATGAAGATACAGGTCTCGATAATAATTTTTGATATAATAATTTGAAAAGAGGAATTTTTAATGGCGCTTCATACGCTTTTAATTGATTATTTAATATACCTGATGCAAAATTTTATGATCAAGCCATAAAATAACTATATTAACCGTTAATTACGAAACTCGACTTACTATGAAACAACAAATAAGAATTATTTCAAATACTATTCAAAATTTTAAAGCTAGTATTCACAAGTTTTAACTTAAATTAACAATTTTTAAATATAAATACAAAATTCTTTAATCAGTTCAGTAATCTAACTAGTAAGACATATTACGTAGCGATGTGGGATCTATCAAGTTGTACGAAGACCACCGAAGACGAATTCATATGCAAGATCTATATCCTCAAGTTATAAGAATTCAAGAACTTAACTTAACCCCATCCAATCTCGAGCCAGTGAAGAGAACAAATTTAAAATTGGATGAACTGAACTTCGCTAATCACAAGCTTAAACAGATGGACGATCTTTTAGACATAGAATTGAAGAAACCATTTATTGTGCAACATTCATACTGGTATACTGTTGGACTATCAGCAATTGGTTCAATTGTAACGATTATCTTATTGTATAATATTCTAAAATGATGTGGACTGTTCAACCTGCTAAGAAGATTACTATGCTGTACCAAGGAGCCCAAGACCCTCTCTGAAGGTTGCTGTATTAAACTATTTAATACAAATATTAATACTCCAAATCCAATAACTCAGGCCCAATTCGAACAAATATTGGAAGAAGAAGCTGGAAGAAGTGGACTCCCAAGTAATCGTTCAGCCGTGGAATTTTTAAACTTAAGTGGTCGACGCTCGACTAGAACACCATCGGTTCATATGGACTAATTAAAGACTAAAATGTTCAGTGTATTTTTACTTTTTTTCTATTTATTTTCAAACTTTTACTCTTAGAATAGTGTAGTTATTGTGTGTATTGTTTATTGTTTAATTTGACGATTTTTTTTTCTCTTAATTTTTTTTGTTATGAAAAAAAATTTTTCTTAGGGGGGAGGTGTTATAATCCCGTCCTCATTTTAATCAAATTTGTAATATTAGTTTAGGAATGTCCCATCTCTAATAAAAACCTTCATACCTTTGAGGTCATAAACGACCCTACAATATAATTCTAATTGATAACTTTAACTATTACTGTTGGGAATTTTGATCATAAATTTATATAGCTTTCGCAGACGTCTGTCTATCTGAACAATGTAAGTTTAGGGCAGTGTCGTCCACTGCTCTGAATATTAGATTAAGGATATAAAAATTGTACTGTACGCCTCTGGCATTTCTGTAGCTTAGATATTATTTAAGGAACTGCAAGACAGGCCCACACATCTCTTTTGCAGAAACCTTCTTTTGCTCAACACTCTTTTGCTTTTGCTCTTCAACTCTCTTTTTACTCTTCAACACGTTATTATTTTTCACAGTTTCCCTCAGGGTAACTATTGTAATTAGTTTATCATAATTAAAGTTAAGTTATATTAAAAAACAACAGTGTACATTAATTCCACACCCGAAAAGACCCTCAACAAGTTGGCCCTTCTGAAGAGGACCACAACAGTTGTTTGGATCATATTTAAAGAATGACAGCTCTAAGGAAAATCTAGTTACGCCACTGAACTCAACGTGAAAAACTCTCAATGAAACTCAGTTTTTATCTTTTCGATAAGATAAGAACTGAAATACAAAGGGGGTTAAAAAATGCGACGTTTTCAATTTCGCCCTGTATTTCAGGAAATAAGTGGGCAAAGACAAATATGTGTGTAGCATTTTTAGTTTCATAAAAAGTAGCACACAGTATCACCATGGGCACCGGACAGGGGGGGCAAGAGGGGGCATTTGCCCCCCCCCCGGATCACTGAAACAATAAAAATAAAAGCTATATCTTCTTACATCCATCTGTAAAAAAATAATCATTATTATGAAATTGTTAGGTGTTACCTGTAAAATAATAAAAAATGTGGTAATTATTGGGAAAACTGGAAATCGTCCGATTTTCACCAAAATTGGTATACACACTATTTTGAGGTCGTAGATTACGAATCTACTTTTTTCTTGGCGGTCTCTGACCGTTTTTGACATTGAACATTGAATTTTTCTTTATTTAGGCCCTATAAAGTAATAATTTCACTATATTTTTATTGTATTATAGTTTATCTAAAAGCCACACTTGATTGGGGATAGAAAAGTGTCCAACATTTTACTGAAAAACACTTTTCTTAACAAAATAGCAAAGAAAATTGAGACCGGATGGAAGTTTAACATTTGATATATCCTTCTTTGTCTCTCCTATGTAATAAGAGAGACAAATATATTCTAGACCTAATCTAGAAACTTGAAAATTTACAAGGTTGCCATATCTTCTATTTTTTCGGGTGATTAGGGATTTTAAGTAAATTACCTATTATGAGATCGACAATAATTAAATATACACCTATATCCACAAAATTACGCGGAAGAGTTTTGATTGCATTGGTTTTAACTTCTTTGCGGAGGGGGTTAATCTTTTTTTAGTTAATCTAATAATATAACAACAAAAGATTAACACCCTCTGCATGGAAGTTGTAACCAATGCAATCAAAACTCTTTCGTGCAACTTCGTGGGTATAAATAGTAAGATCTCGTTGGTAAAATAGCAGTTATGGGAAGGAGCCGTCTTTCTGGCGACCGCCTTTCGTAATTCCAGAATGAGCGAAAAAAACACGCTAAATTTAGGTTTAGCATTGGCAACATTGCTTTAAATGCCAGAAACACATAAGCTTACTTCGGGTTTCTCTTATTACCGATTCTGAACCGTCCTAGAACGGTGATGCGTATGCGCACAAGGAAATATGAAGACATTATTTCATTTGCGCATGCGCTGCAGAGTTCTTGGAAGGTTTAGAATCGGTAATAACAAGAACCCGAACAAAGCTATAACCTAACATTTTCAGATTGTTTACAAATTTATTTTAGCAAATTTTCCTCTGTTATGCATAGAATTGGTTAAAAAAGTAACAGAAAATAGCAAAAATATTATTGATTATTGAATACCTAACAAAATATGTGCTAGAAAACCTTAAAAATATGAGAAATTAAGAAAAATTCGATATTGAAATTATTTTCCGTTTTTCTGAAAAACGGTAAGAAACCGCCAAGAAAAAAGTTCAGATTCGTAATCTACGACTTCAAAATAGGGTGTATACCAATTTTGGTGAAAATCGGACGATTTCCAGTTTTCCCAATAATTACCAAAAATGTCAATTTTTTATTCATTTTTACCTTGCCCCCCCCCTAAATTTCATTCTTCCGGCGCCCATGAGTATCACAATAATGTGAAAACCGCATGAAGATGCGCAACCTCTACTCATAAGCGAGAAAATTCATCAAACCCATGAAAATGGGACACCCTGTACATATTTTTTCTCGCTTGAAAGATTAGAGACAGTAATCACATGAAAGTTGGATTTTTATTTAATTTATTATTAAAGGGTCTATAATATTACTCCTCCCCAAAACAAAAGTCCTCGATTTGCCTCTAGAAGGACTGTGGGCTGGTATTACTAAAGTTTAGTAAAGATCTCCGAAAAAAGTAATAAAAAATGATTGGGTTTAGGTATATGTTGATGATTTGGAGAGCGAAGAATCACCACAAGATGACGTTTTAGATGAGAATGTAGTAGCGTCGGCTCCAAGACCTGGAACATCTCTGAAATCAACTTCTACAGCAGTACCTTTTACAGCCTTGGGGTAACTGACTTTTTTTTATTAAAGCACCTATTTAATAGATATTTAAAAACTTTTCATATTATATTTCATAATTCAATATTGCTTACCGCTTTCAAATAAATAAGTAATTAGTGCAAGACCAAGGACGGCAACAGGAAGACCCATATCAGGTGTGGTACGACCGGGTACCCAGACAGGACGTCCTGGTTCTGCATTGGACAGATTAAAGACATCGAGGGGGACCACGGCGCAATCTGCGAGAGCCATCAGGCTGGGTACAGCGGCTATGTTGACACAGAAGGATGGTATGCCAAATTGACACGTTAATATGTAGCATAGGTGTATATTAATTATTATAAACATCCACGGTGAATGTTTCATAGTATTAGTGATCAAATGTACTTTAATATTATTAAGTTAATTATGATTAGCATTTAAAAATCACCCAGTTAACATTAGATTAATATTAGATCAAACTATTCAATTTTCAGGACCTTTCATTCAAGTGTCTAGACTAAATCTGGCCAAGTATGCGAAAATCAAAACGCTCAACAAACCTTTGTTCGAATATTTATTTTATCACGAAGGAGATATAAGAAACGCTATGGAGTTGGCAGTATTAGCAACCCAACACTGTGAATTTAAAGTAAATATATGATATAAATTAATGCATTATAAAAATATTAACACAGTATGGCCATATACCCGTGCCATTCCATATTCTCATTATATCACTTTTAATACTCTTCCAGGACTGGTATTGGAAAATTCAGTTAGCAAAATGCTACAGTGCTTTGAACTTGATCAGAGATGCAGAACAACAAATCAGAAGTGCCTTGAAACAACATCCGCACATAGAGAGTTACATAAGATTGATTAGGATATATATCAGATTAGGTAAGGATAGGGTAGAGTAAGTAGATTATTTGTATTGTATAATATTTTATACTAATTGATAGATACTAATTGGGGATATAACACTAATTCATAACTAAACTAATTTTATAATATGATTATCATAAGATCAAAGTCATATATCTAAAATAAATATATAAAACGATACATAGTAAAATTCATCTAAAGCGCAATTTTGTTCATATCACTCTGTATAAAAGGACCACGTTAAGCTTCAGAAATGTGAGCTAAAATAAATGGACTGATGTATCAACGTTTTTGTAGGTCTTGTATTTTTTAAGTTAATTTGTTTTTTTTTCAAAGGTGTGTCTATGCCAATATAATCATTAAGATACATGATGGTTTTTTTAAAGTCAGTGGCGGTACCATCTTACGTCAATAGTATTAATCTCTTTCCTTCTGCGATTAGTAAGGAATCAACACTAAATCATAACCATATTGATATACAGGTGGTTAAGTTCCCAATAATCTTAGAGAAACCAAATGAGGTGTGTAATAGAGACCATATCTAGTTGTATGTGGGTTAATATATAGCTGAGGATCTCAGTTCAAAATTTTGAACCGCTGAACAAGCACCACATGGGGCTGAGTTAAAATCGAAATGGGCTGGCCACAATCAACCATGTTTTTTTGAAATAACATTTAAAACTGATACTGTTATTTAAAAATAACAGATTTCTATTCTTTATTGATTTCATTCTTCAGAGAAACATAATTAATACGACAGTACAGACACTAGGTTAGATTATATTTTTACAGTGGCTATTAGCATGTTTTACTGCGTCCTTTTCAGATCTATTGTAATCCTCTTCTCATTAATAGAGTACATTCTTCCAGTCTTATCATTTTCAAAAGTCTACCAACTGGGAGATGAACCGTCCATATAGCTCTTTGGCAATGACCTAGTATATAGAACCTAGGCACATTTGTCAGGCTGTCGATATAAAATATGTACTGTCGTTTCTTCTTCAGATTGACAAAATGTGCGTTTAGTCTTGTCCGTTAATCATCAGATTTATATTTTGAATTGCCCTGGCGACACCAGCCTTTAAACGTCAAGCGGTTTAAGCAGAATCGTGATTACTCAATGGTCATATTTTATGAAACGCCCTGTATAATTTTTTAAAAAATCTTAAAATATGTAAAACAACAAAATAAAATATACGTGTTTAAGAGTTTTTCCAAAAAACTTACCGGTTTTTAAATAAAAAATATTCTAATATTTGAGGGGTGGTTTCACCCCCTTAGAATTCGAGTTTCGAAAAATCCCTTCTTATCGAAATTCTACACCCTAAAGTCAATCCGTTTTCCAAAAATCAGGTTTTTACGTCAAGCGCTTTAAGCAGGATCCTGATTAATCAATGACCAGATTTTTCGAAACACCCTGTATACATTTTTAAAAAGTCTTAAAATATGTAAAAAATCAAAATAAAATATACGTGTTCAAGTGTTTTTTCGGAAATTTGACCGTTTTTTAAATAAAAAACATTGTAATATTTGAGGGGTGGTTTTGCCCGCTTGGAACTGGAATTTCGAAAAATCCCTTCTTATCGAACCTCTACACCCTAGAATCAACCTGTATGCCAAAATTGAGCTTCTTACGTTGAGTGGTTTGAGCAGGATCGTGATTAATCAGTGAGTCAGTCACTTAAGGATTTTATATATTAGTATCGATATGTAGAAGTTCTCTGCACATTTCAGTTGAATATATCGGTTGTCTATTCTGCTATTTATGTAAATTTACATTTTGACAACAGGAGGCCTTATACAGCAAAAAGAGGCTTTATTCGCGTTGAGCAATAAGTAATGTCGGAATACCAAACACAAGATGAAGGAAGAGAGTTCTATATTCAGATGTGAATCTCAGTACAGGATATGCTAGGAAAAAACCGGTTATTTCTAAAACAGTTAAAACTGGACCTGTTATTTAAAAATAACACTGTTAAAATAGCTAATTTTTAATATGGCAGTGCAGATACTAACTCTCTGTAACTTTATATTTTTGGTGAATTATTATGTATGATTGTGTATGATCATTATGACTTAATGTCGACCTATAATCCTCTAATAATAACGCAGAAAAAAAGTTATAAAGCAGTATAGCCACAACCTACAATAGTTACTACTTTAAGGTATAACTGCTGGCACCATACAAATTATTGTTGTCAGCGCGCTGTTCATTTTTAACAAAGTTTGCGGCGATTCTGATATACTATGGTCGAGCAGCGGTCACTGTCGATGGACTGCTTTTAAATACCTGGTTATTTTTTGGAATAAATGTTGTAGTACCATGCAACGAGTTATCATACGTCGGAGAACTGTTATTTTTTGAAAGAATTGTTGCGAACTTGGTAGTTCCTAAATGTTATTTTGTGACACTAGAAACTGTTACAAACTCTAATTTATAAATAACAGTTGTATAATAATATATCATTAAATATCAACCTCTGTCGACTTCACCTTACTTTTTGTAGGTAAGAAACTTAAAAAATAAATTGATGAAAAAACCCTACTTACAAAAATACGAACGTTGGGCGCCAATGACCAAAAAAATGTAATTTCGGTAGCCGCTGTCAGTGGTCCGAAAAATAATGATCTTTCGAGCGCACAGCGGCAGAAACATTTATTCGTACAATAATTAACCTCTAGGCAATCTCTCCGGAGTTTTATATGAAATATGGGTTTATTGCTTCGGAAATACAAGGCCCGGCCGCGGCGTCGTCGGCCAGAATAAAATACGCTAATTGGGACTGTCCAGTCCCGGCTCCCGTCAACCAAGTCCAATTAATTCTTTTACAATCGCCGGTCCACCAAGCGCACGATCTTCCTCGAAATTCTCGCGTGAGTATCGCGTTTCATAGTGTCCCCCCGTATCGGTTTCGTTTCAGGGAAAGATAAAGTTTTAATTTAACTGGTTGGTGAGTGCAGGGCAGAACACAGACATATTAGTTGTTAGGATACAGACTGCTATTAGCTCAGATTACTATCTTGACAAATAATAAAATTATTTCTAATTTGTTGGATTGTTTGGGAGGAGGGGAGTTAATTACCGCGAGCTTATAGATGTAGAATCTAGAATGTTTAGGAGGGGAGTTAATCACCGCGACCTTATAGATCTCTATTGTGTATTCCCCTTTCTTGAGTTATAACGAGTTATACCTAACTCATCATACAGTTTCATGGCTTTAACAAAAGCCAGTATCTGAGACGGCTCCACAGAGGCCAGCTCTCCATCCTCGACATCAGCCGTACCAAAGTTCATGGCACGAATGGTCGTCGTCTCGGCGCACTCAGTGATAAGGTGTTCTGGTGTTTCCCTATTTTCCCCACAAAATCTGCATTCACCGTTGTTTCTCAGCTTCAGTCTACTGAGGTGTTCGTTGGGGATACAGTGTCCTGTTAGAAACCCCGTGACAATCCGAAGATTGTTTTTACTTAAATCAAGGAAAACCTTTGATTTTTCTCGGTCGTAAGTTCCGAGGAACTTTTTCGATTGTCTTAAACCGTTGGAGGACACCCATTCCAAGTTATGGATGGAGTCTTCCAGATTCTTCAGTTCCGCTTTCAGTTGGTTCCCGTTTGGAAAACAGAACGGTTCTGGTTCAGTTAGTGGAGTGTTCGCTCCTTTCCTAGCCATATCATTTGCTTTTTCATTGCCTTCTATCCCTTGGTGAGCAGGCACCCAGAGTAGGAGGACTTTATTCTTCTTCTTAATTTGTTGAGCTTCTCTAGGCATTCTTTGACCAACTTTGAATTGATGGTTACTGAGTTGATCGCGTTAAGTGCTGCTTGACTATCGGATAGGATGGCAATTTCCTGTTTTTGATAGTTCCTATCTAAGATAAATTGTACGGCCCAAATACTCTGTCCCTGCTTTGGTTTTGGAAGCGTTTTTGTCAACGACAACCAAAAAGTACAGAGGCAACAAAGCAATGAGATTTTTGAATCTCCGGAGTGCGGAAGAAAGATAACATCACAGATCGGGCTTTTCAGTCACAGAATAGGAACAGTAGAATAGGAATATCGACAACAGGAGGACTTATACAGCAAAAAGAAGCCTTAAGATTTATTGTGAGCTAATGTTAGAATTACGAGATGGAGGAGGACAGTCCTATATTCTGATGTGGAGGATATGCTAGGAAAAAACCGGATATTTCTAAATAACAGTTTAAAATAACATGCTCCTGTTCTTTATGGATTTTTGTTTCGTAAACATTTTTAATGCGGCAGTATAGACACTAACTCGACATCTAATCCTCTAACAATAACAATACTCAGAAAAAAGTAAAAAGGTACAGAAACCAGTATATCCGTAACCTAAATCCGTTACAACCTGTGCTTACAACTCTAAAGTATAACTGCTGGCACATTACAAATCATTGTTGTCTGGTTTGCGCCAATTCTAATGTATTATGGTGGAGCAGCGGTCGTTATCGACGCACTGTTATTAAATATCTGGTGATTTTTTCGGATAACTCTTATCTTTAACTGATATCTTACGTCGGAAAACTGTTATTTTCATACCGCTTATTTTTTGTTTTGTGATGCAGCGATTTCGTCTATAAACCACGAATCATCGCTCACAGTGCACTGTTATTTTGCGAACTGCTAACAGTTGTAAAATAATAAATCATTATATATGAACCAATATGAACCATATATAAATATTTCATTGTATCTCGGCTCATAAACGAGAAATCCCATAAAACAAACGAAAATGGGATACCCTGTACAGATGTGATGTGCAGTAGTGAACCGCAGTAGTCTACCGGCAGCCAGACGGCCCGCACTTTGGCCAGGAGAGCACAGGAGAGCATAGCAAAAGATATATTAAAGAACCAGCTTTCTTAAAATTCTCGTTTCCCCGACGCGCGACGGTGCTCGTCCTTGTATATCTATACTATTATATAAAATCCTTAAGTGACTGACTCACTGATTAATCACGATCCTGCTCAAACCACTCAACGTAAGAAGCTTAATTTTGGCATACAGGTTGATTCTAGGGTGTAGAGCTTTGATAAGAAGGGATTTTTCGAAATTCCAGTTCCAAGGGGGTGAAACCACCCCTCAAATATTACAATATTTTTTATTTAAAAAACGGTTCCGAAAAAACACGTAAACAAAATTACACAATAAAAAATATTTTATTTTGCTTTTTACATATTTTAAGATTTTTTAAAAATGTATACAGGGTGTTTCGAAAAATCTGGTCATTGATTAATCACGATCCTGCTTAAAGCGCTTGACGTACAAAGCTGATTGTTGGAAAACGGATTGACTTTAGGGTCTAGAGGTTTGATAAGAAGGCATTTTTCGAAACTCGAATTCTAAGGGGGTGAAATCACCCTTCAAATATTAGAATATTTATTATTTAAAAACCGGTGAGTTTTTCGGAAAAACTCTTAAACACAATTTTATTTTATTGTCTTACATATTTTAAGATTTTTTAAAAATTTATACAGGGTGTTTCATAAAATATGATCATTGAGTAATCACGATTCTGCTTAAATTGCTTGACGTTTAAAACTGATTTTTGGCAAACGGATTGACTGTGGGGTGTAGAGGTTCGATAAGGAGGGGTTTCTCAAATTCCAAGAGGGTGAAAACGCCCCTCAAATATTACAATATTTGTTATTTAAAAAACTGCTAGTCTTTCGGGAAAACGCTTGGACACGCATAATTTATTTTATTTTTTTACACATTTTGAAATTTCTAAAAAAATCATACAGGGTGTTCCAAAAAGTTAGGTAAGTGATTAACCACGATTCTGCTTAAACTGCTTGACGTAAAAAGCTAATTTTTGGCAAACGGATTTTTCGAAAGTCAAATTCCAACAAGATGAAACTACCCCTCAAATATTACCAAGTTATATAATAATATCGCCATATTGTTTTTTCTCATGCTGACAAATGTGACAAAATTTTATACAGTTTGTATGTTAATGGAAATTCTTGCTTTGCTTTATCATCACCATTACAAATGATTAATTCGACGCGAACGAAGTCGCGGGTACACGCTAGTATTATTATATTTTTATTAAGGTTTGATTAAATTTGTCAAAAAAAGTTAAAATATCCGTTATCGTACGATCTTTCTCCGTTGATGGGCTGGAGTAAATGGAAATTATGGATAAAAAGTGGCGCGAAAACTCTCAACAGATAACGGAACGCCGTTAGCTTCCACATCATTAAAATACAACTTTTGTATAAATTGTGTAGCTTAGGATAGCTTTAGTTTTAGTATATTCTTGGTAACATAGAAAGATAAACACTTTTTGAAATGACTGAATTTTCGGATCATATTGCAAAATTAAAAAATGGAAGATCCGTATAACAATTAATTAATTTATTTTATTCTAGATCAACCGTTATCAGCTATATCGCTTTGCAAACAGGGTTTAGAGGTATTTCCGAATGACGTTTCCATAATGACCGAGCTGGCCAGACTAACCGAGGCTTTAAACGAACCCCAGTCATCCGTGAAATATTACAGAAGCATCGTTATAGAGGACGCTATGAATACCGAAGCAATCGCCTGCATTGGAATGTACCATTTTTATAATAATCAGCCTGAACTGGCTCTCCGATACTACAGGTACCACGAGCCAACGTTACGTTTTGCTTTTCTTGTTTCTGTTTTGTTCAATCTTGCGATTTACTGTTTAAATTTATAATCTATGATGGTGAAGATACAGGGTGTGAGTGTCAGAAAGTAGGTATGCAACAACCAGAAAGATATATTCGATTGTAGAAAAAATCTTTGCAAGTGATAGACAATGATGAACATATTTCGTTCTGTTCTTCACAGTGTCATTATCTATAAATTTGAAACCTTTTTCGTTTCAAGAAAACACAACGTTTCGGTCAGAGGTACCACTAATCAGGGTTGTTAGGTAGTTTATGAAGCAAAAAATTACGCCAAAAACTACGCGTAGTTTTTTGTATTAACTGCGTTTTAAAATTTTAAAAACTACCTTCAAAAACTACACAACAACTACGTTAAAAACTACCTACAAAAATATAGTAAAACATAGACAATTTAGACAAAAAGCAAGCCAAATTCTTATCATGGAAGTTTGAAGTTATATATATTTGTATAAGTTAAACAACATCAGAAAAAGACAATTTTTTTTCAACAAAAGTGCATTTTCTACGAAATACAAAGTAACATTGAACACAAAATAAACTAAAAATTCTTATGGAGAAATTCTCCATAGACATTCTCCAGGAGAATATATGATTTTTTACATCTAAAGGCACAACTTCATAATCCCCCTCTTCCCAGAAGGTATGGAGACTGGAGACATCGACGTCTTCCAAGCATTTTTAACTACTAAGTATCAAAAATATCACATAATAAGGAACGAATTCACAAAATATAGATTTTTTATTTCTTTAAATTGATCAACAAACAAAGTTTTTAGGTTATGTTTTCACTGTTATTTAAAAAAACTACATTAGTTACATAAACTACACATTTACTACTCGACATTTAAAAAACTACTTGTGACATGTAGTAAATGTAGTTTATTAATTACTACGTGTAGTTTAACAACTCTGCCACCAGTGTTCGGAAAACTACATGTTACTTTTAAAAACTACATAAACTACATTACATGTAGTTAATGTAGGGTATGTAGAGGGTGTAGTTTATGTAACAAGGATGTAACCTATGTCAAATATCAAAGGTTTGAGGCGAGGTTATAATAAGTTGAAGCTTTAAAAACACATAATGAATTTAAGAAAACAGAAGAAATATGGCTTTAAATATAATATTTACATCATATTATCTCTATTACACCTCATACAAAGGAAATTATTCATAATATCAATACATAGTTTATTAACGTAGTTTTCATGTAGTTAATGAACGGGAAAAGACGTAGTTTTTGAAGAAAAACTACACGTAGTTAATCAGGTAAATTACGTCTTAATTAACTACTGCCGAACCCTGTCTGCCACTAATCTATAACTGATGGCGTTCTAATTGTCATTAGTTTTCTAACTACGTCTTGTCATGATCCCGTATTCATGCCATCGGTAAGTACTCTGATATCACAGATCACAGGTCTGCAAAAAATATTTTTTTCTCCAGCCCTGGTACCATTCCTGCAGATATAGTTCACGTTTTCTTCATCATCCAGAATTTTCGGGCAAACACCGCTCTCCTCTTTATTTTTATCATATTTTTATCACTTTTCGATAATAATATTAATTTTATGGATATGAATTTAATTTGAAGAGACGAAAATAATTATTTTAGCTGTAAACAATAATAAATAAAGATATCTACTTTATTTGGTGTTTGCTTACCATTTACACCCTGAGGTACAACTTTCTCGTCCCAAAAACTAGCAGTACTCCGCCAATATGCTTTTAAAAAATGTCTATACCTCTCTGTGGCGGATTCATCTCTCCAAAAATATCCTATGGTTATTTCGCCACTGTAATGGCATTATACCGTATGATCGAAAAAAAAACGGCGTCCAGTTGGCTTGGAAATGACGATCGATGACATTTCCCATATAATTTTACATATAAAATGACAGCGATCTTCATTTCATAGCCATCGTTGACGCCGTTTATTCGATCATACGGTATTAAGTTGAACTTCAAAGTTACCAATTACTACCTGATAACAATTACTTATTAGGTAAAACCAAAAAAATTCAAACTTTCTGTATGGTTATTTTTAATTTTTACGTTTATTATGTTTATTTATGTTATGTTCTTTAAAATCAAAGAAACGATTGCCATACATTACTTAACATCTATTGATGCATGAGCAATACATTTATTTTTATTAGATTGTATTAAAAACCTTCTTTTATTTTTCTTTTAGAGGCTATCGCTTCTTTCATTATAATTTTAATATTTATTCTTTGTTTTGCAGAAGAGTGTTATCTATGGGAGCTCATTCTCCTGAACTCTACAACAATCTAGGATTGTGCTGTCTTTATTCCCAACAACTAGACTTGACCTTGGCTTGTTTTCAAAGAGCTCTGGATTTAGCTACTGATCCATTAATAAAAGCTGATGTTTGGTATAATTTATCTTATGTCGCTATTGTAAGTATTCGTTGAGGTATAAAGATTATAATAAGTAAATAAAAGGATGTGCAAATTAAATAAAACCATATTCTTTTTAATTTATCAAATTAATTAATAGTTCTTGATGTTTTATGCACAATTTTGTACCTACCCTAATTAATTTATACAGGACGACTCTTAAATAAGTATAAAAATTTTGAGGAGTAATATATTTCGATCCCAGAAACACTATGAGATTTTTTTCGCGAAAAAAATTGAAAACTTAGATTTTTTTGAAAAATTTTTTGGATTTTTTTTTAATATTTAGTTAAAAAATTGGCGCCGGGAGGCACGTATAGCCGCCCATACTAAAATATGTTAATAAAAAGTTGGTAGGCACTTTTTTTAGTTTCAAAGTAAAGGAATTTTTTCAATTTTTTTTATCTCAAAAATTGCGACTTTGACTGATTTTGATGTTATTACAAATTTTGTTGCAAATATTATTCCTAATCTTAAATTGAAAACCGCGTTTCGCTAGCTACTGTAATTTTGGAGTTACGATTTTTTTAAATTTTAAACCCCCTCCCTTACTCCCTTACCTACCCCCCAACCCCACCAAAAACTAATGGCCAGATTCTCGGGTGCCACAGTATTTTTGTGCCAAATTTGGTTAAAATCGGTTTAGCGGTTTTTGAGTTATCGTGTTACAGACGGACAGACAGACGGACAGACATATGGACAGACAGACGGACAGACAGGTGGACAGACAGACACCATGAAAATATTTTGTATTTAGGTTATTTAAATGACCTAAATAACTCATTTTGAGTGAAATTAAAAAAACTTTTTTATCCCGATCTTAATAGCCTCCCATACCTATTGGTATGGTCGGTTAAAAACATAATATTTTCATAATATGGCAACATAGGTAGTATATTAAATTTACAAAAAAGGTAACCGAAAATAGAACCAACGGTTCTCAAAATTTAAGTAAAAAATCAGTCTTTTTTGAAATTTTCAAAGTAAAATATCTCGGTTATTTTGGACTTTGGAGAAAATATGTTTCTTTTATCAAGATCTACCAGCCCTAAAAATATTTGCACTTATTTAAGACTCACCCTGTATAATATGTGGTGAGGTAAATAAGTGTAATTTCCTCTTCAGAACCAAAAACATTAAACAGAAAAAATCTTAACTTTTGTTTGGATCTCTATAATATAGACTGCTAATGCCTGTCTACTTTATTGTTGGTCAATTTCTTTTAAAATTGATTAATAAAATTAAGCTAAAAATACTGAACATTACTATATACAGAACTAATGTTCCATATTTGTAATTTTACAAGCATATTTTATTTAATAGTGACATTAATAGTAAACGTTTGAAATTTAAATTTTATATGAATAGGTTTATGTGGGCAGTTACATTCATTAATTCATTAGGTATGCACGAGTTTTAGTAGTCGATGTTGCCAACTCAGGCTGTGAACCGAGAAAATCGATTTTGTTGATATTTATATGCGTTCATAAGATGTTTTTAACAGTTTTATTCGAACCTTCAATCTAAAATGTTAAAGTTTCAATAAGGTTAATACAACACTTGATTTATTTCAAATAAAGCAATTTAAATGTCTTGATAATAATTCAAATACACCAACTAAATATTTCAATTATCTAATAATATGTATACTTAAAGTACTATAATGATCACAGCCTTAATTTAGTACAAGCTGTTGTGACCTATTACACACAGATTCAAAATATTTGCATCATCAAAAACTTCCTTTCATCAAGACTAATTAAATTATAATTTTTATTGAAAAAACTTTACTTATTTCTTTATTTATTTTATTTTTATTACATAAAAGTGAATTCTTATAAAAAATAAAGCAAAGTAATTTTTGTTTAAAAAGCAAGCGACGAATCTCTAATCATGGGTATTTCCACTACGTGAAGTACTGCAAGCCTACTGCTTTCCACTACGTGAAGTACTCTCATTCTTTTTGAGTATCAAGTACAAGTTCTTGTAGACCATCGTAAAGTTGAATCATAAAGCTTTATGATTCATCATCATCATCATTGCCAGTTTTTTCAACCATTTCCAATTATGGTGTAGCTTCCCTCACATATTTAGATACTCTCTTTGTAGTTGGGCTCATTGTTGTCTATTGTGGGCTATGAGGCCCCAAGTTATTATATATATCCCTGCTAATTTTCTAATATCATGGTCCCACCTCAGGGTTGGTTATCTTCTAGGTCTTTTAATTCCTCATGGGTACCATGATGTAATTTTTGTGGTCCATTTGTTGTCCGTCTTTCTTGCCAGGTATCCTGTTCATTACCACTTGAGGGATTTCATTCTGTGAATGACATCTATTACCTGGATCTTTTGTCGGTATCCATTCTCTTATTTTGCGGTGTTTCTCGGTTATTCCCAGCATATTTCGTTTCATTGAGCGTTGTGCGACCTGCAGTTTCCTTATAATGTCCGTTTTAATTGTCCAGGTTTCACAAGCATAGGTTATGACTGGTAGTAGTGGTAGTACACATTCTTCTTCTTATCACGCCCTCTCCTGCCGAAGGTTGGCGATCGAAATGGCAATTGTGGCTCTGGAAACTGCAGCCCGGAAGATCTCCGCAGACGAGCGTTCAAATCATCTCCTTAAATCTTTTAGCCATGAGTTCTGGCGTTTTGCTACTGATCTTTTCCCTTGCACTTTGCCCTCTATTATGAGGTGCAGTATTTTGTACCTATCACCTCTCATCACATGACCCAGGTATTGCATTTTTTTCCTTGATTGTGTTCAGTATCTCTTTTTGTTTATGCATGCGCTGGAGACTTCATCGTTGGTGATCCTTTGTACCCATGAGATTCGCAGCATCCGTCTGTACACATACATATTTTCTTTTCGGTCTGTGAATTTAGTGTCCAGCTCTCACATCCATAGAGTAACACAAAGAAGACGTAGCATCTGGCCATTCGTGTTCTGAATTCCGCACGATTCCGCATGATTTTATACTCAAGAAGATTTTTCTCGCTTGCTCAATTCTTGAAAATATTTCTCTTTTCGGGTCGCACTGACTATTGATGTTAGCTCCTAAATACTTTATTGAGGTCACTTGTTCGATTGGTTGACCCTTGACACGCAGGTGTGCGTTTATTGGAGTCTTAGGGTACACTCACACGGACGACTTTACAACGACTTTTGAAATACAAAAATGTGGTCGCCTCTGGAGAGTAACGATTTTAAATGGAAATCCGGTGAAGCTCTGACACGGGCGACAAACTGCAGTCGGTTTCGGCGACTGTCGCCTGTCGCCGTGCGTGGTCGATACCGTCCACAAAATTGTCGCCCGCCCGTAGTGAATCCAACTCACACGGACGTTTTTCCGACGACGGCGACGCGACAACAACAACACAACTGAACCAGATGATGACCAGACCGACTTTTATTATAGTAAATTATATTATAGTATCTTATCTATATGATACCGACTCCAGTCATACCTTTGCAGTACTTTTGCATTACCTCTGTTGCCTGCGTGTTGCACGCTTCTTCTTAGAAAATGGATGAAGATTTCGACACGGAACTCTTTATAGAGGAAATCCGCCTTCTTCCTTGAATTTGGGTCTATACAAAAGATACATACAGCAATAGAATTGAAAAATCTAAGGCATGATTGAAGACATTGTGCACTAAATTTTATAACAATTTTGAAGATAAAGAAAAAAAAGAGAAAAGCGAGTGTGATAGGTGTGTTTTATTTAATATTTTTATTCATTACAATAATTCAGATTTAGCATTATTATTCAAATTATAATTTGTAATAGGTTAGGTATAGTTAACAGGCTGATTTTGAAACACTCGGGTAACGGGGCTTTCGGTCAAGGTAATACAACTAAATTTTTATTGCAGCCCTAAAATAAATTGTTTATACCTTTATAAAATATTTTGATTTAAACAGCGCGTCGTTTCCGGTTTGTAATGCAATTTTTATATATCTTCAATCAAAGTAATCAAAGTAATTAAAGAATTTTTCATCACACATTCTTAACACCGGATAAAGTTTTTGGAACTGGCTTTCATTTTTATGTTCTATTATTGGATGAATCCAATAAATTCTTTTCCTGCTGTTTCGCCTTCTTTTTCGAAGCAAAAGCCACAACAGTGCTTCTTCTTCAAAATTCATTTTTGACTGAATCAAAAATTTAGTTGTGGTTCGGGTGTCGTCCATCAACTCACACGGGCGACTTCTCGACGACATTTTTGTCGCGCAGTTGTGGTTGTAACGTCGTCGATAGCTGCGACAGCTTAAACACCGGTTTGTCGTTGGAAAGTGGTCCGTGTGAGCGAAGCCTTAGAAAAGACCAAAAGTTTGGTCTTGGAGACATTGAGATGCAGTCCAAACATCTCACTATAGTACACATTGGTCGAATGTTTTCTTCTTTAGATAAAGTGACATTCTAGATTTGAATATGATTGAGTTTCTTCCATAAATACTCCATGCTAACTTAATTTTTCAGTTGATTCCTGGTAGTAGAGATTCCGATCTGTGTATTAGTTGTTCCAAATATAGGTATGTATTCTTCTATTATTTCCAGTTTTGTGTTATTTATTAGAATGTCTTTATTAGTAGAAGCTTTATGATTATTAAAGCTTTAATATTTAATTTTTATTTAATTTCCTATAAGAACTGTCGTTCTGTCATTGTCTAATAGTACCCGCATTCTGTTTGGAGTTCCAAGAAATTTTGTAAAATGTAAGTACTTACAGTAATATTTGATATTTCCTATTTTATATATACATACCGAGTGCGTCTCAAAAGTGTCTCACCCCTATAACTTTTCTAGATAAAAAAACGAGATTTGGTATGTATATATGACATAAATTAGGATTGACTGACGTATTTAATTGTTTTTGGTCACGTCCTGTTTCACCGGAAATGACTACAACTTTTGATTTTTAAACGGCACCCTCGGTATTTTTTACTTTATTCGATAGAAAATGACATTCTGAATAGAATGACATATCATATGTC